ATCCTAGCCCTTTAGGAGGCTGAGGTAGAAAAATTTGAAGTTTGAGCCCAGCTTAGAAAGACCCTATCTCATAATAATAAGTGAGGATAGAGCTCAGTGCAAAGGCCCTGGGTTCAGTCTCCAATATTGAGGGAAAAAACCCAAAATCAAAATCTTAAATCTGCTAAAACTAATAAAAGTCAGGAAGTGGCCAAATATTAAAAAATAAGGATTTTTCAAATACACATGCTTAAGTAACTATGACATAGTTACAAGATAGATACCAAACAGAGCTATTTATGTCTGGACTTCTGCACCAGTTAATCCTTCTGAGAAACAGAGGATGAGTAAAATCAAATGTGTATTCTAAAGACAAAAAGCAGAAAGACTAACCAACTTTTCCCTGAGAGAAGAATGCATCCTCAAGGTATGCCCTAGAATGGCAATATATTTGTCCCGTCTGAAGTTTACAATGGCATGTTACCACAAAAGGTGGGCACTCTTTCCGCCCTTACAACAATTTGCTCCTATAAACTTAGGAAGGGGCAGAGCCATAGTCATAAACACAGGCATGGATAGTAGGTAGTCACATGCTATCTTCAAATTTCCCCAGCTCTTTACTCATACAAAGACTTAACAAGCTTATTTTATTTTTTTAACTCTTTAAAGAATTCATCTAGCCTACGTAATAAAATTAAAAGGAAAAATACCATCAAACAAACTACCATCAGAGCCCAAAATCCTTCACTTTTCACACAATGAGATTGCGCCATTTCTTATGTTAAAATCATATACCAAAAAGAAGAGGTTTAGGAACATGTTTAGTAGAAACAGCACCATAAAAACCACCAGTATTATTATGTCTATGGCTGCCAAGTTTACTTATATTAGACAACATAAAGGCAAAATAACCAAAAATTTCTTATTCATGAAAACCAAAGAACATATACTCATTTCTAATCTTAGATGGTTTCTGAAATTTTTTTAGTTATCCTGCTTTAAGAACCAACAGCTCTGCTATCATTTACTGAGATGTTACTACAGTAAAGGCATTTCTGTGCTGAAAGTAACCAAAATCCAGACTAGTTAGCGTCTGGTAAACATATTTAGTACTAAATTATACTAGTATTTATATAATACCATTTTAATCTAAGATAAAAGGATAATGAGTATTAAGACTCCAAGCCAGGGAAAGTAAACTTTCAAAAACACCAACACTGGCCATTTTCAGTATTTCCAGGTTTTTGGTTACTGCAATCAACAGTCACTTCAAATTCTAAGACATTATGTCCTAATTTTCAGGCATTAATACTATGATGATTCTAAAACTCTTAGGGGTGGTGCTTGACTTGCTCACACCAAACCACAAAGCATCTCCTGGCAATGCTAGACCAAATTCCATAACACAGCGCTAACTCTGATAGCTGGTAGGGCTAACTTTGTTCTTTTATGTCCTAAAAACCAGGAATATGAGACATAGGATTCCCCGGGAGGGGAGCTAAAAGAAAAAAATGAGCTTCGATTTCTATGCGCAAGTGGAACACAGCTGGCATAAAGGGAGAAAGAAGGCAGACAAGATAACCCAGCAAAAAAGGACTAGAAGTGACTAATAATTCAAACAAATCCCTTGCATCCACCACCAGTGTGGATTTACTAAAGTCACAATAGTGATTTCTATTAACCCAAGGAAAGTAACCTTAAGATACTCAAGTGAAACCCCTCCCCCAAGAGCTCAAACTAAAAATGGGGTTTGGATCTTCCTTACATGGAAGAGTCTTTTCATTGAAAAAACTTAGTATTTACTCGGCCTTTTCAAGGCACTTTAGCATCATCAATTATTTCTCAGTGAGACAGCACAGGATTACCATAACCATTTCACTGATGCAGAAACAGACACCAACAGCAAAGAACACGAGCAGGAAGAGGGATGATAGGAAGCATCTGGGAGGAACAGGCAGGCAGCTAGAAAGGAACAAACCCACAAGAAAATGAAAGTCACATCTGACCATCATAAACCTTGTTGTTTTTGAATTGAGAGAGATTTATAAAATATTTTATGGGAAAAGTGCTTTAAAATATCAGTAAGTTAAAGTATAGCTACAGTCTATATTATTTGGTCATAAAAGTGTAGCTGCTTAGATTTTGAAATATCCAATCTCCAGCTCACATACTGATTTCATTTTATACCAACAACATTTTTCCTTCAAGCCTCAAGAGTAGTATATTATGTTTTATCCAGAAAATAATCTTCATAAAAATGTATAACTTTATACAATTGTACCAGAAAAGCACAAAACTCAACGTGTCAAAAGTAATTTGCATTTACAACCAGAATTTTGCTTAGAGAATTATTAAAACACTGAATGAGTTTGGCCTTTAAGGAAAACAAGTACTTGTTCTACACTCATAATGATTTTCTTAACTATAACCTTAAAATATTCAGGAATAAACTATTCATGGGAAGCCTTAAGTATCCAGAAATTAGCACTTACAGTGGGCTCCGGATAAAGGTGCCTTCAATTGAACTCCATACAAAAGATAGCCAAGTGCTCAATAAAGGTATGTCGACGGAATCATAAATCAAAAGGACTGACCAATCGTCTCATGAGATGCTGTTACACTTTTGAGGTATCACCTCTTTTTTTTGGTACCAGGGATCGAACTCAGGACGTTGTGCTAGTGAGGCAGGCGCTGGAAACACTGAGCTAAATCCCGGCCTACCATCTCTTTAAGATTGACCCCAAAAGGGCTGGGGATTAGCTCAGTGGTTCCGCCCCCTGCTGCTCAAACTCAAAGACCTGAGTTCCATCCCCCCTACCAAAAAAAAAAAAAACAAAGATTGATCCCAAAGTTCTTTGTACACTTATGACACCATTAGTTTTCCAGTATCCTCACACATAATGCAGTACTGTTCACATTAATCTTTTTTCCTAAGCTATCAATTCCAAAACAAATCAGGTTCTTTGGGGTTAACAGGTACATACACTATTATGAAGCCTAGAAGGCTGCAAGAAGATATATATGAAGTTTATTCAAAAATTTCAAACCCATGTTAAGTCTTTTTTTTTTTAAATCAGACTGTTTCAAGGTTATGGATAAGGCTATATAGCAGAACAAATACAAGGCATCAGGTGTGTTTCCTTTCTCAAAATCCCAATAGGACTAACTTCCAAAAGCTTATTTTCACAGTCCTCCTATTGAACATACAAAGCCACAAACAACCTGAAAGAACATCCATCACTGGAAATGTTAATAATAAGTAATAAAGAATGGCAAAGGGCCGGGGATTTAGCTCAATGGTTCTGTCCCCTGCCTTGCGAGAGAAAAGGTCCTAAGTTCGATCCCCGGTATCAAAAAAAAAAAAAAAAAAAAAGAATGGCAAGGAAGGAAATTATCATTATTGAAGAAAGTTTCAAGCAATTAACTGTGTCTACGAGTTATTCTTATAATAAAGTCGCTTGCAGTAGGAAGTTGTACTCCATAAATGTACATCTTATAATACTCTTCCATTAAAACCGAAATAGGCATAATGTTGGAAGCATTAAAAACGCAACAGCATCTAAAGCTACCTTATTCTGGAGGGGAGGAGAATCTCTAATAATTCCGAAAATCACATGATCATAAGTTACTTTCCTGCCTCTGTTCCTCGGATAGTCCAAAGTCACTCTACAGGTCAGCCATAATCGTTAATCTAATTCTTCAAAACGGAGACAACTATTCAGTTGTAACCCACTTCGTGATGTATAATCAAAGTTTAACAACCTTTTCCAAAAAATCAATACTCTTAAACAGCAAGCTGTAAGTGAATACCTACCTGGGGCTGCCCAAACATTTCAGTGGAGGGGACAATCACGGTTCAGCCCTTGAAGCTAGGTATATAACTCAACGTATAAAATCGATCAAATTTTCCTATACTCATTTTCCCTCTGGCTCTTCACACTCAGATGGAACACAAAGTCTATCCAAAGAAAAAAAGTGAGAAAAGAACCATTTCATGGAAAGACATCCCTTGCTCCTGGGTAGGAAGAATCAACATAGTGAAAATGGCCCTACTTCCAAAACTGCTATATAGATTCAATGCAATCCCGACTGAAATCCCAGCCGAGTACTTCAGACCTTGAAAAATCAATCCAAAAATTCATTTGGAACAAGAAGAGACCTAGAATAGCAAAAGCAATTCTAGGCAATAACGACAAGGTAGGGGATATCACAATCCCCATTTCATGACTGTTTCTAAATGAAGGCTGCATTGGTCCCTAGACTTAAACCGTGATGGCGCGGCGACCGCCTAGTGGCACTTTGAGAAACTTGGAGCCCCTCTCGCCTTCCCGCCCGCCAAGGACGGGCCCCCGTCCTCCGGATCCGTTTCGCCCTGAAGGCGAGCTACCGGCGTCCTTGGTCCCCGCCAGGAGCCCTGCGGAGCGCACCTGGCACAGATGCGCCTGCTCCCCGCCACGGGCGCATCCTTTCGGGCGGACGTTCCTTCCCAAAATCCAAGTTACCCAAGTCCCCGGAAGGGGCTCGGGTCCATCTGATCTCAGACCACTTGAAGTCATCCCTGCCCCTCGGCCCCATCAACTACCCAACTACCCGCAATGTCCCCAGACCCCAGCCCGGTCCCACCTACCCAAGGGAGGCTGCACAGGAGGGCGCTGTCCGCGCAGCCTGCAAAGGGGCAGCTGAGGAACCGCGGCCCAGCGCTGGAACGCCCCGAGGCAAGATGGGCCCGCGCCCGGCGAAGGGGATCCGGGGAAGTGAGGGGCGGCGCGCTGAGGCTGAGGAGGGTCCGCGGAGAAGACTAGGTAGGGCAGGGAAGCAAAGGTCTTGGGGGTGAAGCCGCCGGGGTAGACCTGCAAGGATGCGGGGCCAAGCCTAGGCGGTACACCAGCTCAGCGGCGAGGGGGCGTTCCTCACATGGGACCCGCTGCAAAGCCACCACGCCGTCCGCCCTACGGACGATAAGGGCCCGACCGCCACAACCCCATGCTCCGCTCCTCTCGGGGCTCGGAGTTACTACGCACCTTGGGTCCTGTCGGCAAGAGCAATGAAATTCTGTCCCGCTGGTCCCGTGAGCCAGGAACGGACTTTACACCGCCGCCGCCATATTTAAGAAGCCGCGCGCGCCGAGCCGCGCATGCCCCGCAACCGCCACCGCGGCCCCGCCCCTCCAGGCCGGTCCATTCGCTCCGCGGTTGCAGCGAGCACTCCCTTCTACTGCTGCCGCGTGCGGGTCCCGGACCAGCACTGCGCTAGCGCACGCGCAGGCAGAGGGCGACAGCGAGACCCTGCGAGCCCGGGAAACCGCAGGCAGTTTTCCCTCATTACCTCCAACCACAACCCCCCACACACACAGCCCATTCATCCAAAGCCCACCAAGTTTCATCCTGGGAACTCGCTCCCCTTCGCCATCGCATTCGACTCCCGGTCACCGCCCACCCTGGCCACTGACCCCAAAAGCAGCCGCTTTCGTAGAAATTCAAGCGAGTTCGAGGAGCAGGGGGAAAAAACAGTTCCTTACAGCAATTTCAGCAAAGCCACTCCTTTCCAGGTCGCAGCATATTCCTTGAAACAGCTTTCATTTTTTCCTCATGATTTTTTGCCACGCAATTCCCGTGCAATTCTACTTTCTGGATTTCCTTGTTCCTCTCAACCCAGGATTGAGCTAACATACTCGATTAACCCGAAGGGTGAAATTTTTCATTCACGGACTTGAGCATTATCAGGAGCATCCCTGGGAGTACGTGTTGGGGGGGGGGTCGTGGGGGGAACCCTGCTGAGTCAGATCCTCGATCCTCTCTCTGCCCAGAGCAGAGCCCAGAGCGCAGGTGAAGGTCACATCAAGAGGGAGCAGGACGGAAAATAGCCTTAAAATGGCCCGCGATTGTTTGCACAAAACACAGCAAACGGAAAACCAAGGAAAAACACTCAGACTTGTAAATTTGGGTATAAACAGATTCCAAACGTTTGCTTCAAAAATAATAGGATGAGCTGTTAGTCAAAAGTAAACTATTGGCAGGCCTTCTCTGACTACAATTCTTTCCAAATCTAGGGGTAAGTTTTGCATACATGATTTCCTTAACTTAATGTATAGAAGAGTATAATGTACTTTTAAAACCACAGTTCTGATACTGGCACAAAAACAAACATGTGGATCAATGTAACAGAAAAGAGGATACATGATCCCGCCGCGCTCCATTCCCCAGTCGGCCTCATGGAAACTTCGTGGAAACAGTGAGAGCCGGGCCCAGTGGAGGACAGGCGCCCTCCCCACCCTGCCCGGCCAGGCCCAGCCCGGAGCACGCCGCTGCCGAAGACTCGAAGACTCACGTGCGCTTGCCAACGGCAGCAGACCCCTTCCTGGGCTGCAGTCTGGTCGCAAGGGGCCACCCCCGTGGACAAGGGTCAGAGCCGAGGGACCTTCCCCTGGGCTTCCGTCCCTCCTCTTTGCCTTTAGATTGCCCGACACCAGTAGAAATGTGGACCCCAGGGCCGGCTCTGGTCCCAGCCTTCTTCCGGCCGGCGCCGGCTCGGCTCACCCTGGACACTGACCGCCCGGCAGTGCTGGCGCCGGGGCCCCGGAAGCTGAGCCGGGCGCCTTGTTTCTTTATGCTTCTCCCTGTCTTAGGCCCCCGATCTTTGCTTCCCTTCATGCCAATCTATAGGTTGAAAGTTTTGGTTTTTCTTGAATCACCTCATGATGATGGAGTTGAGAGTAAACCGCGTGGCCCCTCGCCTGGAGAAGGCACCGAGGTGCACAGCCCTGGCAGTGGCCGGCCAGGCCCAAGTGGCTCTCGGACACAAGGACGCCAGTCGAGCTCCTGCCGGAAGCCTCATTGCTGCTCTTTTGGGGCCCCCGGATCCCCCACACTCAGCAGAAGAACACAACGTGGCCAGGTGCCGCCCAGGACCCAGGGTTCAGAAGCCGGCCTCCACGGGCAGGAGGAGAAAGTGGAGAGAGCCGTCCGCAGCCGCGGCGTGGAGCCCGACCCGAAAGAAGCGCGGGCGGCTGGGCGGGGCAGTGTGGTGGTGGTTTATTTTATTAAATTTTTCCTTTCTACTCATTTTGATGAACACAATTTCAAGCTGCCCCTGCCGAGGCGCCGCGCAGGTGCAAGTGCAGGCGTGGAGCAGGCTGCGCCCCAGACTTGAGGAGCTCACGTACTTGAGCGTAGCTAAAACCCATCCCTCAGGCTGTGCTGCTGTCAGGGTTTGCTTTCCGACTTTTTCCGCCCCTTGAGAGAGAGTCTACAGAAAGGTTTTTTAAAGGATCAGGTCTGCTTTTAGTTTTGTTTCTTTCCCCTCCCACTCTTTAAAAATGGGTTCCGTGAGGAAAGGCAGAGCTGCTGTGTCTGCCGCAGCGCACCTGAGTGAAGTGGGGGCGCCGCTCCTGGTTCCGTTCCAGCCCCGTTTCCCTACTGATGCGATTAGGGACTTTAATTTAAAACCCTCGTTCTGTAGGACACTCTCCAGACAACTTCGACGGCCAGCGTTCTAATAAAGGCTCATTTAACCCACCCACCGCCCCCAAAAAAGAAAAGAGGATACAGAAACCACCCCAGGTACATTCAGCTGACCAACGGGCCAAAAACAAACATGGAGGAAAGACAGCCTACATAACAAATTGTGCTGGGAAAATTGGATATACACATACAGAAGATTGAATCTACACCCATATCTCTCATCAAGTACTAAATAAAAATCAGAATTGGCTGGGGATTTAGCTCAGTGGTTTCGCCGCCTGCTGCGCAAGCCCAAGGACCCGAGTTCGATCCCCAGTACAAAAAACAATCAGAATGGATCTAAATATTAAAACAGAAACAACCTGCTAGAAGATAAAATAGATAACTCTTGAAGACATAGGCATGGGCAAGGACTCTGAACAAAACATCACTAATTCTTTTATATTATATAAAAGTTCTTATACATAAAAGGAATTTAATGTATACTTGGTAAATGAGAAACTGGATGAATATCTTTCATTATGAAGTTCCACAAATTTTGCCCAGAAAACCAAAAGTAAGGCAATTCTTTGAACCATGATTTCTTTTTCAGGCAAGCCTCAGATTTGCTCCTGCTAATTTGCTCCTATAGTTCTCTTGACTGAGCCCAAGATCTGTGCAACCTTAAGATATGTTACCCTACCCAGTCCAAGTCCAATTCAAAATCCTCCTGTATCTCAAGTGTGTATGATTATTTCCTTTTGTACCTTTCTTTAGAGTTTAATATTAGTGAAGCACAATGAAAAAAGATAATCTTTCCCAGAAAAGAAAATTCAATCTAATTTTTATCAATATACATGCTTATACTGAAATAATATTATTTGCATAATAAAATTAATGTCATAGGATTAGGGAACACTCCCTCTAGTTTTCATACTTTCTTCCTAAAACACAGAAGCCTAGCAAAGCCTGGTTGACTAAAGAGCTAATGTGTAACTAGTAAACACTATTTGTATTTTCATCTTAATGAAAAAAATTCATATAGTAGGTGTTAAATAACTAATAAATTAATTAAGATAGTAACTGGGTTTATAAACATCTTCAGATCCATGTTTCTAACTTTTTTTCCTCATGAAACCAAGAGTGCATATCAGTAAGATATAAATTGGCATTAGTATTTTTTGTTAAACCTCTTTTCCTAACTTCAAAATAGTAACTTCCCTGGAAAAATATTAAGAAGTGAAATCTGTGATAGGAAGCCTAAGAAGCTAACCAAACAGATGGCTATAGATTGACACAAAAGGAGGACATGGCTGCAACAGGAGCCGTGAATGCTTATCTGGAATAGAAGCCATTATCAATTAACTATATCTCCTTTAGAATCATTCCATACCTCAAGTTCTTTTCTTTAAATGAGGACAATGAAATCTGCTACTTATGTCACAGATGACATGTCAATTCAAATCAATAAAAACTACAGTCTTAACAGATCCCCATACTTTAAAAAAAAAATAGATAACTTAGTCTTTTACCCAAAAAATAGTCACACATCTAAGTTGACTTTGGCCAAGTTAAGTATTTGATAGGCTGTAAAAAGTGGCATAACCTCAGTGAATACCATATTACACAGTGTTTGTCCATTATTGATTTACTCAGTCCTTCATTCAAACAGTGATTCATTGAATGCTCATTGTATGCCACACTCTGCTAGAAGTAAGGACACCAAGAATAAGATACCATGAATAAGATGATTTGAATGGTCCAGGAGTTTACACTCAGAGGAAAGATAGTCAGAAAAACAGATGTTTTAAGATCTTCAAAAGAACTAGGATCTAAACTGGGTGCAGTGGTGCATGCCTGTAATCTCAGGTACTTCTGAGGCAGGAAGATCACAAGTTCAAGTTTGAGATCAGCCTAAGCAGCTTAGTGAGACCCTGTGTGTTAGGGTTCATATCTAGATGTCCCCTCAAAGTCTCATGACCTCATAGGTGTGGCTTTGGGGCTTTGGGGATGTGATTGGATCATGGGGGCATGATATTCATCAGTGCATTGGTTTACTGATGAATTTATAGTTAGTGTGATTTGGGAGGTGAAGCCTGGTTAGAGGAGGTGGAAATGAGGAACAGCACCAGGCAATGATGCCACGAGCCATAACTCATTAGCTGCAACTTTTCTGAGCTTTTGCATGGCCATGGCCGGTTATACATATATATATGACAAGATTTTAGCTTTGAGTTTTCTCATGAAAAACTGAAATTTAATGTCTAAAATTTAGCAAGGAGATATTCTAATTAAGAGACTGAAATTCTTTTAATGTTGTGCTGTCCTCCTGGAGTATTTAAAACTGCAGCATCATATTTAGTTGTTTGTGAAGAATGTATGAAAACAAAAGCAAGGATATATAGATAGATAGATAGATAGATAGATAGATAGATAGATAGATAGATTTTTTTTTTTTGCTTGGACTGGCTGTGATTTTAGCAGAAGACACCACAAGGTAGAAAATATACTCAGATTCCTTTTTCAGAGCAGGTCAAAAGCTGGTGGTCAGTGGAACATTGCCCCCTTAAATTGGTGGTCAGCACATTCAAGAGGAACCCCAGCTGGGAATCACTGCCATAGTATTAATCCTTTATTTATGTACAGTAATGTCCAGTGGCTGAGCAGAGTATGAGTCCCAAAGAGATATGTAGCCT